GAATTCGAACCAACCAAATATGCGGCCAGAAATATGTGAAAACATCACTCGATTTGGTCATGTAAGTATCCAAAATGTTTGTAAAGGATCATACTAGATGTTGAAAGGCAGAAAATTTAGAAATTATTTGCTTTTACCTGTCAAACCGAAGCTCATGTTTGTGATTTGCTCATTTTGGCCTGAAATTTGTCTTATATGTGTCGATAAAAAAAAGTCTAGACGTGGTTTCGAACAAACTAATGATGCAAAAGTGCTTGGTTTTTGGTCCTCTAAAACAAGCAATCGGAATTTCTCATGTGCAGAAGAAAAAGTTGAAATTTGTTACACGGTGTTATCAAAATATGCATTAAATGAAATCAATTATTTTAATAAAATTTCAAATTAATCAATTAATTAAGTTTTTTTCTTCATAGTATTAGAAAACAAGTCATTTTTTGCGCACTGAAATGCATTTTTTTTCGTGGAAAAAGAGAAAGAAAGTTAACAAATATTAATTAATGATGCGAAATATTAGGTAAATTTTTCTGGCAAAATTTGGTGATGCCATTATCTGAATCATGTGAAATTTCAAGGACATGTTGAGTATTGTAAAATACTAACCTATACCAAATTTCATGAAAATCTATTGATAACGTTAAGTACGATATTTCGAAGAAAATAAATTACGTTTTCCGTGGAATGGTCCATATGGTTATATCGAAGGGTTGTAACAGTGATATGATCGGCACATGAGCACCATCTCTACTGATTGCCATTATTGCGATGTAAATGAAAAGAATGTCTGTTTCTTCTTCTTCTTCTCAACATCAATTGCATACGACTTATGGTAACTCTCCGTAATCATTAGAGGTGGCGCTACTTATGCGCATCAATTGACTTTTGCATTAGCTCTTATGTGCTGTGCGTGTCTCTTGGGTTATATATAAATATTTTAAATGAGAAGTCAATGCGGTCTGTAATTTACTATATATAGCCGACCTCTCATTTAGGGTTTAAATTTTCCCAACCGCTCGATGGAGCCTCCATCGATTCAATCGAAAGAGTTTTTCAAAAGAATCTTTGCGAAAATTCTCAATGTTCTGCTACGAATTACAGCTTTAAACTGCATTCAAATAATATGTTTTGATTTATCTTCTAATAAAGAAAAAAACTTAATTATTTGATTAATTTGAAATTTTATTAAAATAATTGATTTCATTTAATGCATATTTTGAAAATCGTATATAGCATGAAGCAGTGTATGGTGAAATGTCACAAATTGTTGAAAAACTCCTTCGATTGAATCGATGGAGGCTCCATCGAGCGGATGGGAAAATTTAAACCCTGCATTTCAAATTAACTTCAAAATTCCATTGTGATATATTCATAAAAAAAAAATCATCAGAAAATATTCTTCGAAAAAGTGTTCGAATTTCGGAAATTCATTTTTCAAAATTACACGAAGAAATTAAATATTCGAAAATGAGTTCGAACTTCGAAATGATGATTTTCTAAATCATATCAAAAG